TTAAATATTTATCAGAAATAATATATAATTATTTAATTATTTAATGTTACAATAAAATATTGGTTAATGTAAGTGATTGGCCGTTTGCAACATCTTGTAATTATTTTGGGTACACATTATCTACATGTTAGAACTATAAATTTATTTTGTTCATGGAATATCTTATAAATTTAGACGCAAGCTTATCTATACACTCTATAGTCTAAACAATATAAATTACTATCATTAATTTCGTTATTTATTCTAGAAATATTTGAATAATTTTTGCCTACTTCAAATTCTCTAAATTCTTAAGCTGGAAGGTTTTCTTACCTACTCTGTGAAGTACTTTTTTTTCATGCGCATTCACTTAATTATTGTTTGTATATTAATGAACGGATTGTGCAATAAAAACATTTTAAACGAGTTATGTCAGAAATTAAATAATATCTGATACACAAACAGGCAACTAATATTTACAGAAATTTGATCTTGTGTTGTTTGGAAGTCCATCGTCTCCTCAATCATTATTTATAGGTTTATAATATTGTATATATTTTAGTATGATAAACTATTATAATGATAATAATATAATATAGTTTATTATTCCATTGTCTACTGAATCTGAAGTCATAAACATAGGTAGGTAGGTACTTGTCGATAAAAATGTTTTACAATTTTGCATAAAATCGTTACTAAGTGGAATATCCACAACAGTTGAATGTGCATATTATTATGGCTGCTACGCGGGTTACTAATAATAATTTAATAATAATTGTATACCAATTACCAAAACAGTTGTATTATATTACAATATAACGCATAGCCGCATAGGTACTTATGAACAAAAGCGTAGAGTATAACGGAGCGTTTTATTTTCTTTTTGAGAACAAGAGCTTGTCTTTTTTTCTTTAATAGAATATTCTAGGTTAATAAACAATAATAATTGGCTTATTAAGTTTATTTCTATAGGAAGGTATTCGACGTGCAAAAACGTGTATATTCACAATTCACTACTAAATTAACTACCTACCTATACAACATAACCATGGTTAGGTACAGTCATTTTTTTCACAGTTTAATTTGGCTCAAATTTATATTTGCTCACAATATACGACTAACTATGTATTACACGCGTTTAAAAACCTACACTCATATAAACGCGTATTTTAGGCGTCTATAGGTGGAAAATAATAATTATCTAATAATTTTTTTTTTTTTTGTGTTTATTTTTTACGCTTTCCTACGTTTACTTTAAACGGTTAATTTTTTGTTATTAAAAATATTTTACAATATGTATACGACTGTACATAATCATACTACAAGAAAATTAGCCGATATCCATAATATTATAGACACTGCTGATGCCTGATACACAGTAAACACTTAACATATTAATATAAGAGCTAATTTATTTTTAAAATAAAATATCTCTAAGAGTTAGGTACTATATTTTGATATATCCAATTGACATGAAATTAATTATGTATTTGATCATAATTAATCGGGTGTTGCACAATGTGTTTAGCGTCCATTTATCAATGCTTACACTTTAATGTAGGTAAGTAGTTACAAGAAAAATTACCATTTTATGTCATACAACATAATAATAATATATGGTTAGCATGTTAGCACATAAATATATAATATATATTGTGTACTTACTAAAATAATGAAATAACTTGCAAGTGAACTGTAATTAGTATGTCATTATAATATTTTTATATACGACATAATATGAAATATTATATTTTTTTTATAGTGAATATGGTACCTATCACTAGGTAATAATAGAACCAAGTTATGATACCTAATTGTTTTTTGAAATAATTAATATTGAGACAAAATGACATAGGTAATATTGTCCGCCATAAGTATAAAACGGTATTATGACTTTATTTGTATGAACTAGCAATGGGACTGTTTATTGAATTCCATACTATAATAAAATATATTATACACTCAAGGAAAACATAACTGATGACGTCTATCTTGTATTATCATATCACATGAAAAATATCAAGTGTTGGTCAGACTATACAAGTGACTATACAAGTGACTATACAAGACGCGTAATGAAAACTTTTCAAATTTAATTTTATACAGTCCTTGGTTATTTGGTACCCATATTAAAGCAAATTTCGTAACCATAAGCCAGACTTACGAAGAAATCAGTGGCCAAATAATTAACAGTAGGTAGGTACTAGGTACCACCTAAATGCAGGTAACACAATATCATAACATAAAACGACCGTCGTCGTTAGTGCGCGACGCACATTCACACGTACATAAGACAATTGGAAATATTATTATATAATAACCTATCACAAGCTATACAATATGATAACTTGTGTATATTAACTAACCACCGTATCTCTCCACTGACGCTTTACTTATTCCGGCTCATTGAACGTTGATTGATTAGAGTCAACAATTAAATAGATAGGTACAAAATAAATAAATATAAATATTTATGTATATACATTTTAATATCGTGCTCGTAGACGAAACGACTGTTAATCCATTAAAACTATAATAATAATTATAATAATAATAATAATAATTATAATAATAATAATAATATTATGATACATATTAGAATATTATAGGAAAAATTATACTAAAACTCGATGGTGGTTTTTGAAAAATATGTAAGACTGTTATAATATTATGAGTGATCTATAATATCATATAAATAGGTAATAACTAATAAATAATAATAGTATAATACATAGACATAATATTAATAAATGGACTGCTTCTCCCACACGCCCCTCCTATGTCACCGTGAGAACAACATTGAAATAGATCAAAGATATACATGTAAAATATGTCTATGTAAGAATATCTAACCCTATTAGGTAAAAAAACGTAAGTGACAATTTTGGCGAAAATTATCTTATTGGTATCAAAATTTTTCTAAAATTTTGACGCATCGATCTGTGAAATGGCTAAGCGACAATATAAACCTAATCATGTCATTTTCCATTTAAAGATTGGGTGAAAGCGACATGTCGTTTAAATAACTTCAAAATTGATCGTAAGTCACATTAATTTCGAAAAAAATACGTAAGCAACTTTGTTGCGTGGAGTAGTATAAAACTAGTGTAATCGCCATGCACTAACCAACACTACAAAATGTTATTTGTTAACGCCGAAAGTGAAAAGTGTAAGCACCATTGAGCTATATTCGAACATTTATTTTATTGTAATTACAACTCAAGTGACATAAGTTACACAATATTAAAAATATAATTCTTATTCTGTAATTGTATTTTTGAAATAATTTTTTTATTACTACACATCTGATTTTCATGAAAATCCATCAGATATTCGATTTTAAAAGTGTTTTTTTAGTTCCTGTAAAAAAATGAAAATGTCGCTTACGCCCTTTTACCTAATAGGGCTCGATATTATAATTTATAAATATGAAATAAAAGTAATAATGCGTCGGTTAGAATTTAATAATTTCTCATTACATAAATACCTATAATATAATATTGTGTGCATTTAATAATTGTCAACGATTTACCTATGGTAAATACTTTTTTTTATTTTTAACAACTTCAGCCAATTTTAATCAAAAACAATATCTTTTGCATACGCACTTCGTGTTTTCGGATTTCACTATTCTGTAGATATCGACATTTAACTTAAACAAGTATAATAATAATAAGTTATCCGAATAGCACGGCGGAGTGCGGACAGTATGAACAGAATATTGGTTTTTGAATCATACAAATATATTCAATTGTGCGTATTTTGTTCGTCAATAAAATCATTTTCACAAATCAGAATTTGATAAAACGTGTTTTTTATTTGCATGCGTCATAATATACGAGCAGGACACCGGTTCAGACGTCCCGCGTGGCCGCGTGTAATTGGGTGAAAGTATAATAGAGTCGAAGTTGTTCTCGACTGCGGTTTACTGTATAATATTGTACCTACGTATATATATATACTCAAGTCTCGAATACGAAATTTGTGTATTCGGATAAGTACTCATCTGCATGACCTAAAGCAGACCAATAATTATATCCACACGGCACACACACTTGCGTGAAGTATATAATTTCTATCGCGTAATATATAGCGGAAGAACTTTAACGCCACCCGTTGTATAGTCTCATATTTAATTATATAATATACAACCACAGTTAAATTAATTGCTGGAAGTTATTGTTTTGTCTGATGAGTTCATAACCAATAATTATAGATAAACATTTCTTTTCCGCCGAAATATTATTGGGTACTACTGTGTATAGTATACGCTACTATACGTCTTGTATTATCGGTTAACAGTACTTTTTGTTCAATTTATATTTTATTGATTTTTTTTTTTGGCCGATATTATTACTGGTATCCGATGTAATCAACATATTTTAATATACATACAGGTGACTGGTAGTCTACCTATTACAGTCCAGTTAACTCTACAAGGAGTACAAAAATTAAAGTGGACCCATAAAGTAATACAAGCCCGGAACATAATATATTATTAAGGTTAATGTGGATATCATGGGCTATATATGATTAATTAGTTATTATTTTATATAGGTAGATAAAAATAAATCCATATACCTATTGCCATCACCCATCATTATTAAATGGTTATAAATAGATAGAGATGTTGAAGGCCGGTGAGGGGTGTTTCAAAAAATAACTGTTAGCTATATTGGGGAAATAAAATTTGTAATTGATATTGCATAATATGTGCTATTTATACCATTAGAATTATAACATAATCAAAGATGATAAGAGATAAAAAATATCTACATTACTACCAAAACTAGAATCAAAATTTAAATATGGTGGTTATTACTGAGGGAGAAAATGTTGCTTTACAAAAAGGACTAATGACTGGCTATACCTTGGTATCTTCCTCCGTGGTGTACCACCTTTACCGCGGTAACCACTAACCCACATCTCACCCGAAAATAGAGCACAACGCTAAAGTACTCTTGTAGCTTATATATAAATTTATCGATATTATGTCACTGACGTGGTCGTTATTGTTTCAGGTGCTATACTTGTTGCGGAAAATGAGCAGGAAAACTGTGGACGCGGTTCCGGCGCTAAGATCAGTGCTGGTCACATCGTGTGAGACGTCCGCTGGACTGCAGCTTTGCGACCGTCTGGCAGCCGCTGGTTTCCGAGTGTTTGCCGGTCACAAACCGGACATCCGGTCGGACTCGGCCGAGTCTTCCGATCGCGCGCAGCCGTCTGGCCCGTCATCCGGGGCCTGTGCCCTGCTCCGGTCGCGCGTCAAGCAGCGTGAATCGGCCACGGCGGACGTGGAACGGGCATTCGGAGGTATCGTGTTCGTGTCGTTGGACGTGACCCGCGAGGATTCTCTGCACGAAGCAGTGGTCACCATCAAAAGGCATCTGCCCGCCGGCGAAGACGGTCAGTAAATCTCTATATTTGATATATGCCCACGGATCTAAATTTTAAACTTTGGTCGAAAACGAATAGTAATAATACTGTGTTTGTACAGAGACTATAGATAGACACCGACAGTATCTATTTAATCTAATTTTAAGGTCGACTGAAGGTTGTGTGAATGTTACTGGTAATATAATATTGACTTGATACCTAGTGCGTAGTGACAACGTAGTATGTACCTAGGTAGAATAAAAATTGATGACCTACCTACTAAAGCATAAAATTCTATACATTCTACGGTATAAACCTATACCTACCTTTAATGTACCTATCGGTTAGTTATTTTGTAAAGTAACATAGAGTGGAAACTATTTTACTCATAAGTCATTGTACTGAAAATAGCAATTAAATTTACATAATGAATAATGACCTAAATCTGCTTATAAAATGTAAATCACAACATTTCAAGGAAACATAAATAGGAGAAAAATGTAATTAGGTACTATATCAACATTAGGTACTATTAATGTTACATAGGTGATATATGACATTTTTGTACAACTATTTAATTATTAATTTATGGTTTTTAGAATGTTCCTTATTCGTTTTTTATTTCATATTAATTTTTTACTTATAGGTTTTTCAAAGATCAATGACTCATAGTTTTGTTAATTTCTATGTACCATCTAGATAATACAAAATAACTTTTTTTGAATATTGGCCAATTTCCAAATAGTACCTACATTTTTAAAATTCAAATACACAATAGTTAATTTAAGTATTGTTGTCGTAAATGTATAATTAATAAATTCAACGTAGTTATGTCAATAATGATTAACGTGATTAAAAAATTATGCTAGAAGTTATAATTGTGTTACGAAATAATAATATTGTGTTGACATGAAGTTAGTCAATTAATAATAGTGGTTATGGGACGGGTCAGTGACCATCACTACATGCCCATACGCTACATATTTTATAACATACATTATACTATTATATATATTATACTATCACACCACCCGTTATATCATTAATATTTTATATAGTAAAAGTATATCGCCTTGTACGACGAATCAACGTAATTCTGAAGCAATATGGTTATATACGTTATGGTTTCTGTTTAAAACAGAATCTGTTATCTGGATATCTGCAGGTATCTAACCGGAAATGTAACACGAATGTGTTACCCTTGCCGTCCCACCTTATTATAAGATAAAATAAATATTTCATAGTTTGTACTTTTACCCATGATACAGATACCTATAATAGGTACGTTACTGCGGGACAATTGCGTATAAAGTTATAGGTTGGAACTTATTGCTGTATGCATGGTGCACATATTATGCACTTCCACGTCTTTTAATTTCTAACATATTATTATACAAGCTTGAAGATTTTATCCACTTTTTTCATATTCCGTAACTTTGCGGTATACGCACATGAGCCGATTTAGACAACAGAACTCCATGCCCGATATCTGTTGTTCGTTTATGAGAAGGTAATATATTTTGTTGTAAACAATAACAATGAAAATAAATCAAATTATATTTAAGTTCAACGATAACTAAAATTTAAGTACCTTCCTATTATGTTATTCGTCACACTGTTACTGCATGATTAATATTTGTTAAAAGTAAGTAGGTACGTAATTATGGATGTTTCTGCGAATCATAAAAACGTTACCAGCGGAATGTTGAAAACTCTGTAGGTATTTACGGTAATAACATATTTTTTTATGAATATGTAAGCGCACAAAGTTGTAATAGTACTACCTGACATGACTCGATGTACCTAGTTGCTATAATGCTATGTATATTATATATATAAATATTATACTCATAAAAGTGTTTAACCGAAATAATTTGTCGAATTAGTACAATAGAGATTTTCGTGTTCTGCATTCACTTGACTTTTGAATAATAATTGATAAATGGCCATGAAACGAAAATACCTTGCAAACTATATTATGCCTACACACATGACAACACTGTGTTTAGCTGAACCGATTTTTAATTTTTACATGACACCTTCCTACAACATTACAGTAGTATAAAAGTGACGTACTTAATTCATAATAATATACCGTTGTGCAGGTGAAGTCGTAATAAGTAGATAAGCTAACTGCTAAGACATATTATTTTGCTCGGTTCAAGGTAGCTGGTATACGAATACATTGGCACAGTATCGTATTAAAATCCTATAATTTATAACAATAATATAGCCTTCATTTAATACACAAAACAACCTACATTTAATTTATATTATATAATTAGTAATTTTTTTTTCTGTATCAAACGGATTTCCGTTTAAAATTGCAACATTTATACATACTTATTGTAAAATACTGAACCTATTGAATTCGTCTGGAAAAAAATAATGTCATTAAAAATACAAATCACGAAGTCACGATATTATGATATAGCATTTCTATATTTGAATAAACAATATTGTTTTTATTTAATATTTTATTCATTTCCTATCATTATTGTATTTGAATTGAGATTCTTAAAGTTATTCAAATAAACTGAAATGACAAAATATTATAATATTAATGTAATAATGTAGACTATAAAACAAATTAAAACAGTACGATTAATATTCAAATTGAGGTTGCATATGGATACCAAATAATGGTATACCTACTCAATGAATCTTTAATTTATGTTTTAAAATTAAATTGAATAAAAAATAAATTAATTTATATAAATTTCTAAAATCCAATCGATATATTGTCATACACATTTCAAAACCATACATATTTTTATTTTAACTATGTAGATAGGCACATTAACCTATCTATACATTGTAATTTGTTATGTAAAAAAAAATCTGTAATTAATAATATTATTATATTTAAAATTTAAATACCAATGACTAGTTAAATGTAAATAATACGACTATATCTATATGTAATAATAGTTATGAAATGGCAAAGAAAGTATTCTTACTATACTGCAGACTGTTTAGATTTAAATGATAGATACTCATTGCTCATTAGTATTATCCTTATTATTATTGTATGTGTCTAAACTAAACAAACTACGTATTTCAAAACCATTCAAACCCGAAGATGTTTAAAAAAATTAATTTAATTGCTTGAAAGCGAATTTTATATTTTAATTATACATTCCAAAACAACTATTATATTAGGTATGTATTATGTGGTACCTAATCATTGTAATTTTTATTTTTATAATATGGTATATTCATTATTAATATAGGTATATAATATATTATATTAAAATTATATTATGTATCAATAATTACCAATAAGCTTAATTGTATATTTAAATTACATCGTTTTGGTTTTTTATGCTTGGTAATAAATTACTAATTGATATCTCATTTTTTTTATAATAACATAAAAATATTCCATTTAGAACTAAAGAAGAAATCGTTGGAAGTGCATAGGTATGCCTAGAATTTAATGAATTTCTCATTAACTGTTTAACAACATTCAAAAGTATCCAAATTAATTTCAAATTGAATATGTTAATATGTTAATAGTAATTTATATTTAAAAATTACATAGGATTCATTTTGTTTTGGGTCTTTAGTTTTAAAATTAGGTACCTACGTATAACTGGATTTATGTATAATAGTACATTAATTATAATAGTGTTTAAGTTATAAATGCACTATATTGTACTTACCTACTTAATTCATAATCATTTAGAAAAAAAACCGATCTAAAATAAAAGTATACGCATACAGATATATAATTTAATTTTTACGTATCTTAAATTTCATATTATAAATTATAATTAAATGCGATGTTTCACAGTAGGTACTTGTCGGCTGTACATAATTTGATAAAAATAAAAAATAAAACCCAAGCAAAATCGCAGATTTCTTAGATGAGTATAGACGATTATGGTAACCAGTGACTACCAACCATAACCTACATTGGCTAAAACAAACCAGACTATATTATTCTTATCCGTAAAGAGAGAGTAGAGACTATCTTAATAATTTTTGTCGTCGATAGAAAAATAGTGTCGAACGCATCTTAAATTTTAAACACTCCGCTCTCGCCTTCTATCGGATACACTCTGTTCTTGTAAATAGGTACCTAACGTACCTAGGTAAGTGTTTTATATTTTTTCCTGACGAAATCCAATGCATAGTATACCAATATAATCGGATTTTAAATACTATTAAAGTTTTAATTTAGGTAGTAAAAATTCACGAAACAGTTCTGGTCTACGTATACATACTACTATGTGACTATGTTAAGATAGTAGCACTGAATCACACGAAATACGCACTTAAATATTAATTACAAATTACTGTTGGCCGTATTAATATTTACATTTATAACATAAACAGTAGAATTTTATTTTTAAAAATAATCTTATACATATTGAATACTATGCACCATTATAATAATATTTTCAACTATTTAATGAGAACAATCATTTTTTGAAAGAGATATTTTTGTATTTAAATCGTAGTGTTTTTGTTCGTATTAAAAAAACAATCCTATACCTATAACTTATAAGTACGGATTGTAATTAGGTATACAAAATCGAAGAGCATATTATTTTCAATTGTAGGTATAGGTGCCTATATAAAAAGGTACATTCAATGATTTGTCACGAGTAAAAAATAATATGTAAAATAATACGTAGTAGCTATTGGACTTGCTAGGTATTTAATAATAACCGCCACGCCGTAAACATTTGAGTGTCGTTGTTTTAATTTTTCTCTGAATAAATATTTATTGAAAACAACAATGTTACTGTAAAACGTGCGATAATTCAAAATGTAAATATAAATATTTGCCACGAAAGTCGAAGAATAACAAGAAAAATTTGATCAGTTAAGCAGTTTAATAATACAAATAAGTAATCTCTCACGGAGATCAACGACAGTTAAAATAATTTTGCCATAAGAATCAACAGAGACTTTCTCGATTTTAATATTGTATTATATTTATATAGAGGTGAAAATTATATTCACGAACACATTCTCTACGTAGGCGGCCTAATCGATTATGAGACGAACGTTGTTTAAGG